GGGAAATGCCCCACAATACGTATTTGGTGATCGGACTGACGGCAAAAGCAAAATGATTCCCGTCGCGCAATTGCAATTCCTCAAAAAACCTAAATTCAAAAGATCTCGGTTCTTTCTGCATTTTGTCGGGGTTCTGTGCGACGTCGTGTGGACACACGGAAAAATAATACGTATTAGGTCGGGATTTCGTTTGGGTTCTGAGTGCATTGGGCCCCGTGTGATAAGGTCCTTGGAAGTGGAGTTATCGAGGCAGAGATGACAAAGTGTGGGTATTGTCCCACAAAGTAAGAATTCTGCCCCCAGTGAAATTTCCCTGCAATCCCCAAATTTCTAGCATTACACACACAGAGAGCCAGTGAAAATCATTTGTGTCCAGAACTCTTCTATTTGCTGTCTTCCCATCCCCTCAGTGATTCTTTGCCAGCTCTTTGGATGCCCAAACAGTTATTTCCAAATGCTCAACTTAAGGTTTAAGTTACTGCAATCTTAGATATTTGGACTCCCTCAAAAGGTGGTGGGTTCTCCCTCAATGGCAAGAGTTTTTGGGGGTGTTGTTTTAGCAGTTTTTTAAGCAATTTTTTTTAAATTTTAAGGATGTTTTAACTGTGGACTTCTGCGTTGAGAAAAGGTGGGGTTGGATTAGATGGCCTTTGGGGTGCCTTCCAAGGCTGTGATCCCGGGTCAGATTAGCGTCACTCACATCCTGGTTGGACATGTCCCAGTATGGTCTCTCCCCAAAGGACATCACTTCCCACATGACGATGCCGTAGCTCCACACGTCGCTGGCGGAGGTGAACTTGCGGAAGGCAATGGCTTCGGGGGCTGTCCACCGGATTGGGATCTTCCCACCCTGAGGAGAAAGGCGTTTAGGAATTGACCAGGGTGAAGGTACAAATACAAAGGGAAGAAAGAAGCCAGTCAACAACTGGCAATTTAAATGCAAAATACTATCATGATTCTCAAAACAAAATCATGAACTTTGAAGGTTCTCACCCTTAAGGGTTTTTCAATACTCCAGAAACTGTTTCCCCTGGCCAAAGAGTTTAGAATATTATTTCTAAACTTAACCAGGAGACCCCAGTGTTTCCCAAGAAAACAGTGATCCTATTGCCTAGGCTTCCCTCCCATTGCAACCCTATTTGAATCCCTGAGCCAGTTACTGGTGCAGGCAATGATCCACAACGTTGGGAGCTGGGAGGGAATGACATGAATCTATGTCCATAAAAAAATGCAACATGGAGGGAGGGCCATTTCACCTACCAGGGAGCTGGTGTAGGTGGGATCAGACGAATTCTCCTCGAGGAAACGAGAGAGCCCGAAATCGGAGACTTTGCAGACGAGGTTGCTGTTGACCAGGATGTTTCGGGCAGCGAGATCCCGGTGGACGTAGCTCATGTCGGAGAGGTAGCGCATGCCTGAGGCAATCCCCCGGAGCATGCCCACCAGCTGGATGGGGGTGAACTGACCGTCATTCAGCTGCAAGGGGGCAAGAGAGGGGAGAAATGAAGGGTCGCAGCCAGCAAACTCAAAAAGTCAGCCTAGCAGAAGAGCGTTTTTCCCTCAAAGAACTATACAGTGGTCCCTCCACATTCGCTGGGGTTAGGGGCACAGGACCCCCATGGAAGTGGAAAAACTGCATCTCTAGGTCCTGCAGGGCAACTCTGTGGTCAACATCTGCCAGACCTTGACTGTAGCATCACACTGGAGAACCTACAAATGCCTAGAGAAGTGTTTTCTCTAGCAACCTCCAAGCCTTCCCACACAACTCTATGGTCAATTTGCAGCAGAGTTTCACTGGAGGACCTAGTGATTCCTAGAGAGAACATATTTATCAAATCCGTAAATAATCAAATTGGCAAACGTCAAAGCCGCAAATATGGAGGGCTGACTGCACATCCCAACCATCAACACTCACTGATGCTGCACAAAAAGACCTGAATCCAAATGGTTAATCCACAGACCCTATTGCTGAGTGTCAAGTCAACATGCAAGTAAATCCCATTCATTCAACAGGTCTACTCCAGTTGGTAGACTAACAATTCTCTCTACAAAGAAAATTTTGCCAGTGCTGGCTTCACCTCCTTCGAACTGGTGATCCATCGAGTGGGTGAGCCAGCTTGCAAAAAAATGGGGAAGGATTCTGCCAGCCAAAATCCTCTTTGGGGAGGCCAAAGGTGTGCAGCCGCATGACAAATTTATAGCAGTTTGATCCCACTTTCACTGCTGTGGCTGCATTCTAAAGAATCCTGGGATTTGTCATTTAGAGAAGCAATTCTCAGATTCAGATCTAAGACTTTGGGGGCCAGGAAAGGGGTTGTTGTTGTTGTTGTTGTTGTGTGCCTTCAAGTTGTTCCCGACAACCCTATCCCTATAAGGCAACTCTATAAGACAACCCTGCCATTGGGTTTTCTTGGCAAGATTTGTTCAGAGGTTTGCCACTGCATTCCCCTGAGGCTGAGAGTATGTGACTTGCCCAAGATCATACAGTGGATTTCATGGCCAAGGTGGGAATCAAATCTTGGTCTCCAGGATCATAGTCCAGCACTTAAAAGACTATGCCACACTGGATCTTGTAGAAAAAGGGTTAGAGATAGGGTTATGGGATTTGGACCCTTGTTTCTGGGGCCAGGAAAAAGATGGTTTGTGAATCTAGAGAGGCTGGAAATACAGCCCTAGGCCAACATGTGGCCCCTGGACTGTCTCAGGGGTGTAGCTATAAAGGGGGGAGGCAAAATAAAGGCACTGCCGCCTATTCGAATTCTGCCTCCCCAAATGAAAAATTTCCCTCCGTCTCCAAGCGTCTAACATTGCCGAAAGTGAGACACTGAAAACCTTTCTCAATTAGAACTCTTCATATTTGCTTTGCTTGCATTCCCTGGGTCACGTTGCCTTTTGCCCTTTTCTTTGGATGCCTCAACTATTTCTAAAAGCTCAACTGAAGTTTTAAGTGACTAGAAGCTAGAAATTGGGGGATTTTCATGGAAGGCAGAATTCCTGAGGGGGGCAAATGCCTTCACGTTGAAACCACCATTGCCACCTTTGCTGCGCTTTGTTCATCCCTGAGCAGAGCAGCTCAATAAAACAAATTACACTGAAATGTGTTCTGTGCCCTCAGGTTGACTCTGGCTTATGAAGACCCTCTCCTAGGGTTTTATGGCCAGATTTCTTCAAGAGGAAGCTTGCTACCGTCGCCTTCCTCTGAGTCAGAAAGAGTATGACTTCCTCAAAGGCCACCCTGTGGGTTTCCATGGGCAAGCAGGAATTCGAACCCTGGTCTCCCAGGGTCCTAGTCCAACAGTCAGACCACTACAGGTATAACCTGATCATAAAAAAGTTAAAATACAATGAAACCAGCTATGCTATTAGAACAACACTGAATTAAAACTTTCTTTAAACAGTTTTAAAGTTGTAACAACAAGAATAAAAATACAGCACACATTCCTATGAAAAGACCCTTCTGCACAGCCAGTTAATAATAGGCAAGAAAAATATTGCCATTCAGAGAGACACTGAGGTCAGGCGAAGGCACAATGCTCCTGTTCCTGCCCTCCATGGCTTCACTGGAGAAAGTGGCACATGGCCCCCCATTTCGGTCCCTTTACCCGGAGGAAGGAGTCGAGGGCCCCGTTCTCCATGAACTCGGTGATGATCATGACGGGGACGCTGTTGGTGATGACGCCGTCCAGGCGGATGATGTTGGGGTGCTCAAACTGGCCCATGATGCTGGCCTCGCTCAGGAACTCCCGCCGCTGCTTCTCCGTGTAGCCCCCTTTCAGCGTCTTGATGGCCACGTAGATCTCCTTCTTGCCGGGGACCTTCAGGAGGCCGCGACACACCTCCCCAAACTCACCTGAGGGAGGGAGGGAGAAGCTTTATTAGGCTTAGTATGGAAAGAGATCTTGCGGCACCTTTGCGACTAACTGAAAGAAAGAAGTTGGCAGCATGAGCTTTCTCCTTACCTGCAGACTACTCCTTACATCCATTGCTTACTTGCCACTTCATTTCCATACACAAAGATTTTGAATTTGAATTGACATTCCCACACATGAATGACATATATAGGTCCCACTCTACCAAATGCATCTGTGGAAGTCTCAAAGGTGCTACAAGATCTCTTTACATATTGATTTTACAGACTA